TTCCATTTTTTCGAAAAGCCAAGTTATTGAACATAATCTATATCGAAATGAGAACTGATTAATAATCATATTAGACAGTACTGAGTCAGATGCTAACAGCACCGAGAGCTAAACTGCGAGTATGAAAATCTTCTACATGTATTATATAGCTAATCTAGCTAGCAAACAACCAATCAGTTAAAATGCCGAAGCATGGCGCAGCATGCTGTAACTCACTTGTCTTAACATCATAATTAATATTAAGAGTAAATATCAGTACGGACCTGCTCTTTGCTCGCCTTCTCTGATTTTAACTTCCGAACGATTTCCCCTTGAAGTTTAATCGCTTCTTGTGTCTGAGCCTTGTCTTCCATTGCTTTTTCTAAATGTTTTTATAGCGCTACTCACTTCACCGGCTACCTACAGCACATACGGGCTTGGAACTGTCAACGGAGCATAAAACGGAAACGGAAGTAAACGCAATTTCCGATTCATCATTCGTGATCTTCCCGTGTGTTTTTTTTTATGTGTAATATCTTTACTTATATTGGTAAATAGACTTCAGTAAACAGGATTTACAAACGGGTTATACATAAGATTTAAAGTTTCCTGCTTTTCAAGTATCTTTATTACTCTGTGTTAGGGACATACATTATAACCGATCCGGTCACTTAAAATATGTTTACAGTAACTGTTGTTATATTTGTTGCCTTTTCTGTTTTCCTTTTGGTCAGATTACTCTTAAAAAAGACATTTTTAATGTCAAAGAGATTTTTAACAGGATAAAGGAAATATAAAAGTCACTGCCAAAAACTAATTGCAGCTTCTACCTTGTGACAGGAATCTTGTTCGTGGTTCAAGATGACTTGATATCATTCATGAGGGATATTTTTGAAATCTTTTTCACATATTATAGACCAACAAGTTATTTATAGCTTAGTTACAATCACTTTTTGGCAAATACCGGTAATCGGTTTTTGGCAGACAGGAATTCATTAGTTGGGGACACCAAGTTTATGACCTTGAAATTTATTTCATTACTTTAGGAGGAAAGGGGGGTGAAATACATTTTCTTTGTATAACCTTAATTGTCCCAATTTCAAATGATTTTAGAATAAGGTTTCTTTTAGCTGGATTAGAATAGATTTCATTTAGCAAAGTAGTTCTGATCACTTTGTTTGTGCACCTGCAGTCAGAAAAGTCCTGCTATGCACAGCTGTCACTCTAAGAGAAATTTAAGAATGCGCTCTCTCTTCTTCAGGTTATTACAGGTAATCTGTCATGCTGAGCATTTGCCTGGTGGACCCGATGGGTCAATTGAGCTACTCACCTGTTGTACAAGGACTAACAGCAGCCTATTAAACTCTGATTTCAGGGGTTTATTTTAAGTTTACAGAATATAACATCTGGTAAGACGATGAGTTTTACTTCTCACTGTCCATGTTATGTGTGTCCATTTATCATGTCTGCTACTTTGCTCTGTGGACTGTAAAATGTTTCACTGTATTCATGCAATAAACCAGAATTTCAACATCTGAATCTTTTACTGTTTTTCTGTTTTGTTCACTCCAAGTTTGACTAAACCCACAGCTCACAAACATCACAGAGCAATCTCAGTGTTTAGCTGCTTTTTCCCTAAACACAATCAGCTGACTGAGAGAAATGCCTGTAGTCCTCCACTTTGGTCATTGTGAATGTTGAAGGAGCTTTGTTCCATAGACACCTTATACTAGTGTTTCCTGCACTTAATCCAACACTACTATGTTCTATTTAAATCCAGATTCCTTTTATAGTTTGAAATTTGTTAAACCGTTGCTTAATGGGACAGAAGTACATGTCACTCTTTACTAACACACTGTAGATGAGTTAACAGCTAACAGCCTCACACACTCTTTACATTTCTGAAGTTTTGTGTGTAATGGTTTAGTCTCTCACACCTTACCCTTTCTCCCAGTATCACACCAGTATGACTCCCAAAGTACGGCTCAGTAAACAAACAAGGACTCTGAAGTCAGAACAGAAAGATACAGTTGGAAGA